CAGCAAAATTTTATTTGCATGTTATATTAATGATATTGTTCAATAATTGAAACTTTCGGTTGGTCACTTTTCTTTGGAATGGGCATAAATATGGATTTCTTCCAGCTGGTTGGCCAGGTAGATGTCTTCCAAATTCCTTGACATAGACGAGTGAGCACTTCCACCGCTGCATCCTTTGTTGAAACATCTCAATTGGTATTCCATTAATTTCTGGAGCCTTGTTTTTCACCAGTGTCTTCAGTGCAGCTTGGACCTCTTCCTTCAGTACCATTGGTTCCTGATCATATGCTACCTCCTGAAATGGTTGAACATCGACCAGTTCTTTTTGGTATGTTGACTCTGTGTATTCCTTCCATCTTCTTTTGATGCTTCCTGCATCGTTTAGTATTTTCCCTGTAGAATCTTCCACTATTGCAACTTGAGGCTTGAATTTTTTCTTCAGTTCTTTCAGCTTGAGAAATGCTGAGCATGATCTTTCCTTTCAGTTTTCTAACTTCAGGTCTTTGCACATGTCATTATAATACTTTACTTTGTCTTCTCGAGCTGCCCTTTGAAATCTTCTGCTCAGCTCTTTTACTTCATCATTTCTTCCGTTTACTTTAGCTACTCGACTTTCAAGAGTAAGTTTCAGAGTCTTTTCTGACATCCATTTTTGTCTTTTCTTTCTTTCCAGTCTTTTTAATGACATTTTGCTTGGTACATTGGTACCTCTGTGAAATTATTTTATAGATGTAATTATAGTTTCAAATCAGTTGACCTTAAAGTAGGACAGTTATCCAGATGGTCCTCACCTATCAAACATGTGTCTTAATTAAAAGCAGAGCATATTTTGCTAGATAACAGCAGAAGAAGAAGATAGAGGGATTAGAAGGACAAGGAGGATTTGACACACCATTGTTGGCTTTGAAGATGAAAGGGCCACAGGATGAGGAACGTGAGCATCCTCTAGATGATACAAGTGACCCCTGGCTGACACCCAGGAAATGGGGACCTCAGTCCTACAAACAAAAGGAACTGAATTCTGACAACAAACTGACTGAGATTAAAAGTAGATTCTCCCCCGTATCATTCAGATAAGACCCTAGCTAGGCAACAGCTTGATTTCAGTTTTATAAAATCCTAAGCAAAGGACCCCTATTTTACATAGAAACAGTGAGATAATAAATGGCTGATTTTTGTTTGTTTCTTTTGTTTTTTAAGCCACTAATTTATTAGGCAGTGATAGAAAAGTATATACAGATATAAAGTTCAAATGAAATTCCATTTTTAGTCTGGTTCACAGTAACGTAGTTGTGAAGGAATGTATTTAAAAAGTCAGAACAAAAACTCTTTCAATCAGTTTTTAAGTGTCACCAGTTTGTGGAAGTTCATGGTTATTGGATTTCAAGCTTTTCAAATTTTAGGGTGTACAAATTCTGATTAAATATGTGATTAGTTTTTATACATAGGTCTCAAACGAATTAAGATAGACTTTTATTATTAAAATCTATTGGTGTTCTATTCTTATTATTTTTTAATCAAAATGAGAAAATGCTCATGCATCTAAACTAGAGACACATTAGAGCAGTTACTACATTACAGAAATTCTTTATTTTTTTTTTTAATTGTACTTCAGGTGAAGGCTTACAGAACAAATAGTTTCTCATGAAACAGTAGTACACATATTGTTTTATGACATTGGTTAACAACCTAACAACATGTCA